GATACGAAATAATAAAATGACTATTTTGAAGCCATTCACCTCAGCATAAAGAGCCTTGGGGTCAGTTTCAAGGAATTTGTCATCCTGAGATTTAAGGAATTTTTTTTTTTTTTTTTTTTTTTGCTCCTTGAATGCCTTCAGGGCACTTTTGCATGGCTGGAGTGTTGTGGGGATCGAACTACAGCAAAGTGAGGCTGCCAGCATTGTGGAAGCAGCCACTTAAAGAACTGAGCTAGGGCTGGGCCCCCTAAAGGGAATGTACAATTCTGTATATGGTTAGATTTCTAAATTGTTTTGTAAAATATGTTAATGCTTATTTCTACTTTTATAAAACTATTTTCCTTCATTAAAAAAAAAGAAATACAAAATGTAAATGTAAATATTCAGATTTAAGTACAGGACCAATATATCTATACCTATATCTATCTGCTTTTATAATTACATTTTGTAAATCTGATTCATGGTTAGACTTTGAATTAAATGCAAAATCTTAAAACTCAAAACATTCAAGTAATGGGGCCAGGGAGATGGCTCAACAGAATAAGCGCTTGCCTGGCAAGCGCAAGGGCCTGAGTTCAATCCCTGGTTCTGTCAAAAAAACTAAGACCAAAACCAAAAGACATTCAAGTAAGAATATTCTATAGCTAATAGAATAAAATTATCCTAGTAGAGCCCTTATATAAATGAGATGATACTTCTGACTTGAAATGCACATACAGAGGTAGGACAGTAAAGGTTGATCTCAATGAACAAAGTGATAAATCATTTTAAATATACCTCATTGATATTTAAAATTTTTGTTCATGAAGCCACCATTAATAAAATGAAGAGGTAATTCACAGACTGGAAGAAAATCTTTGCGTCACCCATATTAATCAAGAACTTGTATCCAGAAGATAACAAGTGGGCTGGGACTGTAGTTCAAAGGTAGGCTACGTGCTCAGTGAACAAGAGGCCCTAGGTTCTGTCCTCAGCACCAAAAACAAAACAGAAGGTAACATGTGACCTCAAAATGGAACAATAAATTGACTAAGTAACCAGTAAAAAAACCTGAGCATGTACAGCAATTAACCACTAAGAAGAATATATGCAGTGTATTATTTGTTGAAAAAAAAAATAAAATAAAATGTAGTTTACAAAAAGAAAAAA